CTTGGCTCGGATGCTCCCATGCCAGAAGGATGAGTCCCTCCAGGGAGGGTTGTCCCCACAGCCTGTCCCTCCTGAGGAGTGGTGCTGCCCGCTCTGTGTTACTGCGACCTTCAGTATGAAGCTGGGGAGGAGCTTCGGGCTGATCCTTCAGCTTCTGTCTCCTTCTCCCACCCCACAGCCCCTAGAGGGGCCCCAAAAATGGACATTTCTGGGGGAATGCCTTCATCCCCAGCTCTGTCCCCCGGAGGGGAGCCACGGGGTGCCAAACACGTCCATGAATGAGGGGTTATTATACCTGAAACCAATTGCACAGTAAGACAACAGATTCCCTGTGCCTTGCACCATGCAGCAGGAGAAATGCTTGGATTCCTTCTGGTCCTTTCCTAAAGAATAAAAGCTTTTCACTAGACAACAAAACCCTACTGTTTTAACCAAAACCAGGCAGTTAATAACAAAGTTATCTTAACTTAGTTGATAACACTATCTTAAAGTTAAGCTACCTCAAACTTAGCTGATAACAAAGTGCTTTGATGAGAAAGTTCCTGTGGTCCCAGTGGGACAAGGGAAGCCCTGGTGGGAATTGACTGTTGCAGGAGCCAAACACAGCTCTTATATCTGCTCCTGCCCAGTCATATGATGTGTGTGCTCACACCTGTGTGTGGACAGCCCTCGGTGTGGTGTGACACTGTCCTCGGGGCAGGACATGGGAACAAGAGCCTGTCTGGCTTTTCCCTTTGAGCAGGGACATCCCTGGAAGGGCTGAGGCTGCAGAAGGGGAGCAGCTGGGCTCCCCATCCCACTGAGGGGCTGCTGGTCCCACTGCCTGCCTTGTCCAACCGTGTCCAGTCAGCTTGGCTGGGAGATGCCAAGGGACATCCATCAAGTCAGTGCTTGGGGACAAGCAGAGCCCAAGCTGGGCTGGAGAAGTCTGAGTGGTTGGGTGATATTTGAGTCTCCAGGAGGTGTTTCTGTGTGAGCATGTGGTTCCTCTCAGTACAGGTGAGTGGTGGGACCTGGCAGCAAACAGCATCAGGGGGATAGCAGTGCCTCTGCAGCAGGACTTGAGGTCTCAGGGCAGTGGGCACCTCTGCATTGCAGGGACACTGCAGGGGTGAGGGACAGCCTGGCCAGAGCCATGCCCTCTGCCACAGACAAGGGCATGAGCAGCTGGTGACACACCGGTGGCTTTGTTATACCAGGTGAGAAGAGATCACCCCTGTGTCCTTGCTACCTGTGTCTTTCCAGGTCAGAGCTCTCCAGCCTGTACCCTAATGATGGCATCTTCAGGCCTGTGTCCTTCGAGTGCTGTTTCCACCAAGATGAGAGTGTGGAAGTGCCTGCACCTCAGAGTCCTTCCAGGTAGTGCCCTGCCCCACTGGCAGAGCACTGGGGGCACAGGAACAGCTTGTCCAACCAGTGTCACACTGCCCTGATGTTCTCCACACCCCAGGAATGCTCCTGGAGCAGTGCTTGGCCATGCTGGCATAATGCTCCAGTCCTCAGCTGGAGTGTGCCAGACTTGTGCCTGGAGCCTGCCTGCTCTCCTTCCAGCTCCAGAGACACTGAAACTGGACCCAGTGCCAGCACATCCCCTCCTGGAGCTCTTCAAGGGGGACACAGTCATGCAATGTGAGCTCTCCTAGAGTCGGGACAGCAACCCAACTGCTTCAACTGCAGCAACTGAATCCTCATCTGCAAGAGCTTCTCCTGGGGCTGGCACTGCTGGCAGATGATCATGAACACCAGGAGCCACTGGCACCTGGGCACCATCAGGGGCACAGTCAGCCACAAAGGGAAGCTCAGCAAGTGTCCTGAGAGTGGTGTTTGGCTCATAGGCCTGAAGGATGGGAAGGTCTATGAGGCCTTCAGCACCCCACGGGTCACACTGCTGCTGACAGCGTGGCCCCGGTGCATCGGTGTCTACCCACACTATGAGAAGGGGGAACTGAGCTTCTACAATGCTGACAGCCCTGACGAGCTCAGTCCCATCTACACCTTCCAGGCAGAGTTCCAGGGACAGCTCTATGCCATCGTGCATCTGTGCTGGCCAGAGTGAGGGCCTTACTCCCCCCCATCATCCTGCCCATGCCTGCTGTGAGCCGGCACCCATGGGTGCCACACAGCCATCCTGCTCCCAGGGAACACACGAAGCCGTAGCCTGGCCAGTGGGATAAATCTGTGGCTGAGTCCTAGGGGTTGCAAGGTATAGACTCCTGGAATGGTTTGGGTTGGAAGGATCTTAAAGCTCATCTCATTCCACCCCCTGCCATGGACAGGGACACTTTCCACCAGCCCAGGTTGCTCCAAGCCCATTCAGCCTGGCCTGGAACAGGACCAGCCACAGCTTCTCTGGGCAATCTGTGCCAGTGCCTCAGCACCCTCACAGGGAACAATTCCTTCCCAATATCCAATAAACCTACACAAGTCTTTGACGAGTGACAGGACCAGAGACTAACAACCACGAACAATATCAATGTGCTGCCATCTGCAGGGACCCGACTGGTTTTGGGGTGGCAGGGGTTGGTGTCTGGGGTCACCAGGGTGACCAGGATGATGGAGCAGCCAAGGTGATGAGGGTGACTGGGGTCACAAGGCTGACTGGGATGATGGAGGTGGCCGGGATGATCAGGGTGACCACGATGATGGGGCGTCCGGGGTGACCTGATGGAGCAGCCAAGGTGATGAGGGTGATTGGGGTCACAAGGCTAACTGGGATGATGGAGGTGGCCGAAATGATCAGGGTGACCACGATAATGGGGCGTCCGGGGTGACCCGGGTGACAATGCTGAGTCACAAGGAAGGTCTGTCTGGGGTGACGATGATGGGCCACAATGAAGGGCTGTCTGGGGTGACAGTGATGGATAGCCCCAATGATGGGCCACAAGGAAGGGCTGTCCGGGGTGACCCTGGTGCCAGTGATGGACCACAATGAAGGGCTGTCGGGGGTGACAGTGATGGACAGCCCCAGTGATGGGCCACAAGGAAGGGCTGTGGGCGGTGACCCCACGCCCGACCCCCGCCCAGCCCGGCGGGGACG